ACTGTTGTAGGACACTCTTGTGTGACACTCTTATAGGACACTCTTGTAGGCCACTCTTGTGGGACACTCTTGTGGGACACTCTTGTGGGACACTCTTGTAGGAAACTCTTGTGGGACACTCTTGTAGGACACTCTTGTGGGACACTCTTATAGGACACTCTTGTGGGACACTCTTGTGAGACACTCTTGTGGGACACTGTTGCGGGACACTCTTGTGGGACACTCTTACGTGACACTCTTGTGGGACACTCTCGTGGGACACTCTTGTGGGACACTCTTGTGGGACACTTGTGGAACACTCTTACGGGACACTCTTGTCGCACACTCTTGTAGGACACTCTTGTGGAACACTCTTACGGGACAGTCTTGTAGCGCACTCTTGTAGGACACTCTTGTGGGACACACTTGTGGGACACTCTTGTGGGACACTCTTCTGGGACACTCTTGTGGGACACTCTAGTAGGAAAATCTGGACACTCTTGTGGGACACTCATACGGGACACTCTTGTAGGACACTCTTGTGGGACACTCTTGTAGGACACTTGTGGGACACTCTTTCGGGACACTCTTGTCGCACACTCTTGTAGGATGTAGGACACTCTCGTAGGACACTCTTGTGGGACACTCTTGTAAGGCAATCTTGTGGGACACTCTTGTAGGAAACTCTTGTGGGACACTCTAAAAGGACACTCTTGTGGGACACTCTTGTGGGACACTCTTGTAGGACACTCTTGTGGGACACTCTTGTGGGACACTCTTGTAGGACACTCTTGTGGGACACTCTTGTAGGACACTCTTGTGGGACACTCTTGTACGGCACTCTTTTGGGACACTCTTGTGGGACACTCATACGGGACAACTCTTGTGGGACACTCTTGTAGGACACTCTTGTGGGACACTCTTCCGGGACACTCTTGTGGGACACTCTTACGGGACACTCTTGTAGGACACTCTTGTGGGACACTCTTACGGGACACTCTTGTAGGACACTCTTGTGGGTCACTGTGATGGGACACTCTTGTGGGTCACTCTGATGGGACACTCTTGTGGGACACTCTCACGGGACACTCTTGTAGGACACTCTTGTGGGACACTCTTGTAGGACACTCTTGTGGGACACACTCTTGTAGGACACTCTTGTGGGTCACTCTGATGGGACACTCTTGTGGGTCACTCTGATGGGACACTCTTGTCGGACACTCTTGTGGGACACACTTGTGAGACACTCTTGTGGGACACTCCTGTGGGACACTCATACGGGACACTCTTGTGGGACACTCTTGTAGGACACTCTTGTGGGACACTCCTGTCGGACACTCTTGTGGGACACTCTTGTGGGACACTCTTGTGGGACACTCTTGTAGGAACCTCTTGTGGGACACTCTTGTAGGACACTCGTGTGGGACACTCTTATAGGACACTCTTGTGACTCTTAAGGGACACTCTTGTGAGACACTCTTGTGGGACACTGTTGCGGGACACTCTTGTGGGACACTCTTGTGGGACACTCTTGTGGGACGCTCTTGTGGGACACTCTTGTAGGACACTCTTGTGGGACACTCTTGTAGGGCACTCTTCGTACGAGACTTCCTCCAAAAGGCACACGTCAAGTCTCCAAAACGAGCTTTTCGTACGAGACCTCCTCCAAAAGTCACACGTCAAGTCTCCAAGACGAGCGTTTCGTACGAGACTTCCTCCAAAAATCACATGTCAAGTCTCCCAAACGAGCGTTTCGTACGAGACTTTCTCCAAAAGTCACGTGTCAAGTCTCCAAAACGAGCGTTTCGTACGAGACTTCCTCAAAAGCTCACATGTCAAAGTCTGCAAAACAAGCGTTTCGTACGAGACTTCCTCAAAAACTCACATGTCAAAGTCTGCAAAACGAGCGTTTCGTACGAGACTTCCCCCAAAAGTCAACCACAGGTCGCGAACAAGACTCTACCCCCAGACCCCCAGAGTTAAACGAGAACACTTCGCTACGCATTCGGGAAAAAAAGGTCTTAGGCCCAAGATATTGGCCACCACATGTTCTTCATGGATTTGAGTTTTTTCGTGGTCCCTTCCTTCGATGCTGGAAATGTTTTGGGTTGGATTTCTTGGCGTCCTCGACCTTCCGAAAAAGGCTCCATCATTCTCCATGAAGCCATGAAGTGGCCATGAAGCCATGAAGCGGACAGATCTTCTATCACCTTCAAATACATGAACTTCAAGTGACACACCAATACCAACAACGATGATTCCCACTTCACGCATCTTCACACAAATTGCCGAAAATCCATATCTGAATCTAAATGGGTCTTTCTCAAGGCAAGTGCTACAAAATATATAACCTTTGGATCGGCATCTGGGCATCTCATAGTGAGAACATAATGATACCGGACCCATGGATGTGAAAAAAATGAAAAATGATCTGCTCATCTCTGGGTCTTCCACTGATTTGGGTGATCGCCAAATCAACGTCTTTTGGGATCTAGGACATCTTCACCCACTGGTTGAAGACCTTTTTTTTTGCGCGTAGCGCGTGATCGGGTGTATCCATGCGTGTGTTTCGGCGTCCACGGCACCTGGCATGGCATCAAAGATCGTCTCTAAGGGTGCGCGGGCGTCCGCGCAGCCGATGATGGCGCAGTGGGGAGCCTCGCCAGTGATCTCCAGCTGCTTCCGAGTCGCCTCATTCCTGGGAGACACTCCGACTCCGGTCTCCGAAGGACTTAGGTAGGATTCCCTTCACTCGAAAAGAACCTGCTGGTTCTATGCGCCCAGGGGCACTCTTCTTTTGGACCACATGGCTGTATAGTTGTGCTGTTGTATGGAACCGATTCTACCTTGCTGCCAATATGACCAGTTTGTGGGAAGTACTGGGATTCACAGTTTACCGCTGCCAATACCCATACTGCGAGATGTTCCTATCAAATAGTATATTATACAGCTACTAAAAATAGACTGTAATAATGGATATACAAACATGAACATAGTAATACAGTATACAATATCCACTATATGATATGATATAATATTACTTAGTAATATCATTATATCATTCATTATCCATGGTCCATGTGTCGGAACATTCCGTCTCCCACAGTGGCTGCGACCGGGTTCAAACACTGGTGCACCATGGTGCACCATGGTGCACCCAGACCAGGTGAAAGAAATTATTCGCCCGACACGTTCTGACTCACCGAATCGCTGCATTTTACCGGTCGCAAAACACTGCATCAGAAAAAAACTGAATATATTTTCATAAATCCATGTGGAGTTTCTCATGAGCCACTGAACAAACGCAAATCTGCGGGGAATTGACCTCGACAGTGACATGTACAAACATGCATGTGCCATAAAAGGAATGTCTTACTGTCATACTGCGCAGAGTTAGAAAGAAATAACGTTTTGTACGGGCTCCTGGCCTTACTACTAGGAGCGATCGGACGCTACGAACGGGCTCTTGGCCTTACTACTAGGAGCGATCGGATGCTACTAGGAGCAAAGGGCATCGCTACGAACGGAGCAAGAAGCTACTTATGACAGATCTTTGACAAAACATTACTAGGATCCTCCCCTGCCAGCCTCGGGGTTCAGAAGTGTGTATTGACCCCTCAATGATGCTGATGGTCAGAGAAAAATACAATCTGCAGTCTCAAATGATATGTGATCTGCAGTCCCATCCTTTGTTTTGCTTTTTCATTGTACTTTTCTTTCTTTGGAGCTTTAGACCTTTATTCTGTTGTTTGTGTCTTTCTTCATGTCTTTTATTTCCAAAAAATACAAAGACACCATGTGTGAAAGGTTGCTCCCATGCCTTACAAGTAGACTCCCAAGCTTGAGAAATTCTTGAGTGAACCTGCCAAGTTAGCTAGAAGGTTAGCAATACAAAATTATATTCCGCTCCCGAAGAATAATGTGTGTTAAAAAAGAATTTGTTTTACGCATGTTAACTTAAAATTGCATTATATCAAGACCCTAGCTGCCGGAGTGCTATGTTAATGTACTTTGGACCTCTCTCTCGCTGTTTCTTCGGGAATTGAAAAGTAGGACGAAGCACCCCACAGGCCGGTTGCGAGCTAGCATAATTGCTGGGGATTCTTAGGGATATTCACCGGTCTCAAAACAGAATTCTTTAACGTGTAAGTGTTGCTGTTAGGTTAACCGAGGCACCTGAAGCTGGGAAGTATACCACCCCCTTGCAGGTGCTACGTTAAATGTTGTGGCAGGGGTCCACGTTGAAAAGTAGGTGGGGTCAAGAAAAAGGATATATATATATAATATAACAAACACACACATACTCTTACTTACAGTCTATAGAAAAAGAAATCATGTCCGTTCAATGTTAGTGCAGGGGTCCACGTTAAAGTGGGGTCCTGAGTAGGTGGGGTGAAGAGCAATTTGGCTCACAGGGTGTTGCCATGATGGATAAAGGACGGAAGGCCTTGAAAGAGTCTTTTTTTATTACACCTCCTACACCCTCTTTAAGCAAAGACATATAGTGTTTTGTAATTGTTTTGGAAGAGAGGCTCTTTCACGTGAAGGCTTTAAAAGTGTGGTGGGGCCGCAGTACAGTGTTTGAGCACAAAGGCCTAACACACTTTACAATACTTACCAAAGACCATGCCACACCGGCGAGCGTGTGGAAAAAAACAATGATGTGCGTGGATGGCTCAGGTACCATGTTCTTTAACGTTGCATTTTTCAGCATCCAACGTAATTAGACCAGGCAAGGTCCACGTTAACCATCTCAGTAGACCGGTTGATGGTTGATTGAAAAGTCATGGGGTTTGCATCTATGGTCCACGTTGACGGTGACGTTGCGCAAGGGGTCCATCCAAGACCCCAAAACCGTTTTCCCGAGTGGAACCCAAACAGTAGACATACTGCGCCACACGTTTAGCACAAACGTGTTGTCCAGGTACAGGTGAGTTGAACCCGGAGCGTTTCTGAGGACATCGACGCTGCCAACCCTGGCTTGAAGAAAAAAAACATATAGAAACCACCGGCGACCTTTGGCCCAAACCCATAGAAACCCCACATCACCCTCTCGGTGTCCATCCCAACCGCCCAGATTCGTTGCTGTGTTCCTGGATCTTCCCGTGGCAAATCGCGCGTTGCCGTCCCTCAGCAGCTGCAGCGACACTTTTGGGCTCACAGGTCCACTGCGCAGAGAGGGGGAGAGGGTCTCGTCCTCCTCCAAGCAGGACACCTGTCGTGTCCTCAGCTGAGCGAGCGAGCGAACGGAGGAAGAGGACGGACCGACTCCTCATGGTGTCCTCGCGGACGGGTTGACGTGATGCGGCGCCACAAAGATATCGAGTTGGTGTATGTTGGTGTGTTGAAGGTTCCACCTGGCGGAGTTCTACAGCTTTGCGCGGCACAGGTCTAAACATGAGGCAAGAAAAAAGTCTATTGACATACCCTTGGTGCTACTATGACGTGGCACTTGTTGCAACCCGGAAAACTGAAGGCTGCAAGTCGAAAGCTGAAGAGAAAATGCTCCAAACAACGCACGTGTTGTATGACTTTGCATTGACACAGTACCCGACCTCTAAAACAACACTAAAAATGATTAAAATGATGTTCTTTCCACCAGGTGTCGGCTTCCAGTCAGGAACTGGCTTCCAGAGGAAGGGTGCACAGCAGCATTCGGTCATGGCACCAATGATCTGATGCCTTGTTCTATCTTGAGTTCCGGACGTCCATGCGCCGGTCGTCCCGGACTTCTCGCCGGAAATGACTCCGTCCCGGTCGTTTCGGTCCCCGGTCGGGTCGGGTCGGTCGTCCGGCGAAGACGTGCCTCTTGGAGGCGAAGACGTGCCGACTCCTTAAAAAAACATTCCTTTGGAACTACGTAGGTGTCCTTTTCCTTATATATACATGTCTAAATCTGTGTAAATTTAGTTGATTGTAAAAAAAATTAACTAATCAATGTATATACAGTACTAATTAGAGAGAGAGAGAGAGACAGACCTTGCATTCCCGTGCACTGCCTGAGATCCGCCCACAAAAGGAAACCGGTGACGACCCTGGTGACCCACCGAATGGCGAAAAAGGCACCGAAAGAATCACCCACGCGACCGGTGGTCATATGATATGTGGTCATCAAGCCAAGGTCCAAGAAAACGGTGTCAGTCATGCTAGGGACACATCTCCCTTGATGTTGATCATCACTGCCCTGTTTATTTGTGAACAATAAACCATAATAACCTATGTATACTCCTATGTATCTATAAGCAGGAGATCTACAAATGTTTGGTGTGTTTTGGTGTTCAAATATCTTCAAGAGAGTCCTTTGAAGTCCCAACTGTTTTCACGGACATCCATCTCAATCTAAGACGGTCCGGTTTTCCCTGTCCGTGCACCTCTGGGTGTCCATACCCATTGGCCCGAATCTCTTTCGGGTCAATTGCACTGAGGCGCAGTGGAGGCATGGCCACCCTGGCTACACGGCATGACGGCTGTGCTTCAGTGCTTCGTGTTCCAAAGCGACGCTTCGATCTCCACGGGCCAAATTCGGCGACATCGATGCGGAGCATAATTGCGACATCGGTGCTCCGATGTCACGGATCTCCACGGTGCTTTCGGAGTCCACCTGTCGACGCCTTTCATCGCAAACCGATCGAGATGGGCCGTGGGGAACCGCCCAGCTCCAAGAAAAAGAGCAGAAAAAGAACACGGCAAAGGTCAACATCTGCTTTCTTGTACCGGATTATACAAAATAAACCCATGAGGATTGTAGCCCAAAATTCTACCTCTCCCGCATGGGGGTTTGATGAATCAAGAGTCTCTAAATTACACCTCATGGAGGCTGCCGCTCCACGCCATCACCACCGTGGGTCTGTGGACTGCGTGTGTTTTTGGAGAACACCGAAAAGGAACACGTCTTCCAAGGATCGATCGTCGACCCTAACGGTGAAATGGTCGATGAATGAGCAAATCCGGTTAAAAAATGGTCAGTTCCCACTCAAATGAGTATTTGATTTACAGTTTAATTTGAGGGATTGGAGGTCGTGCGGATCGGACCGCTGGCCCCCGCACCTGCCATTGGCCACCTGTGGGCACACCAGCGAGAAATGTGTGGTAACGTTTGAGAACATGGCAAAACCAACGATGTGGGCATAAATCAGAAACAGGGCAGCACGCAAAGCCCGCAAGGAAACACGGGTAAGTCGGATTCGGAATGGCTCTACACAGCATGAGCCATAGCGGCGCCACCCTCAGAAATGGCCTCTGTCTAGTCAGTTGCTCAGCGAAGCACTCGTGAGTGCCCAGCAGTCTTTGTATTTACAGTAGTGTTATACTTAAACGTGGCAGCGACCGAACCTTTTCTACCGCTCGAGCCCTGCAGCTCCGATCGAGGGACCGTCGGCGGGGCCGGTTCCGTTTCACACAAACCCCCTATGGTGCCGAACGGTCCGCTCGAGTCTGCTGCACATAGCGCTTCTTGCGCTCCGCGGCCTCTTGCCGCAGCCGCCTGGCTTCAGCTGTATCCACCAGGCTCCAAAGGCCCTCTCTGAGGACCTGCAACAACACTCCGTTGTCGCTCCATCTCGTGAGCCCGTCACTCACCATCTCCTTGCCGGGCATCCACCGGACGAAGTTCTCCGCCCCCTCCTCGATCAAGGCCTCGCGGAGGACGGCTGCATCGATGAGGATCTTTCGGTCGCTGGTCATGCTCTCCGAGGCCAGGACGTCGTAGCCGGTCTTGGCGTCAATCACCAAGTAGTGCTTCCAGCGGCTGGCGTACCATTTCCACCGAGGCAAGCTGAAGTCCGCATGGACGATCTCGGAGAGGACGGCCCTGACGAAGTCTCCGTGCTCGAAGCTCTCCGCGGCCATCGACAGCTCTGCGCTCATCGAGCACCTCACCACCCGCTGGATCTTCATGCTCTGGGCCTCCACGATCCCCACCGGTGCCTTCTCTTCCAGCACATTGGGGTGTGCCAGCATGCACACGACGCCCCCTTGGGAGTGCCCCTTAGGTTGAGCTGCAAAGGCCGCATCGCTGGCGGAGATCACGATGAGGTCGCTCATGTCGCATCCCAGCTTCGGCAACTTCACCACCACCTCCTTCTGGGCCCTCTGGATGAGCTTCGCTGTCCATTCCATGGCTTCTCGCTTCCCAGTGGCCACCAGCTGTTGGCAGTGAGAGACCCCATAGCTCAAATCATATCTTCCTTGGCGGGCGGCCCAATTGACTTGCCCCAGGATGGAGCCTATCTTCACTCTCTCACGCTCCGTGAGATCACCTTTCCTTGGGTTCCACTCCTCCTTCAGGATCTCCGGGATCTTGGCGATGTAGTCGGCCATCGTGTAGTAGAACTCCAAGGTCTCGGGGTCTTGCCGTTCATAGCGTCCGCAAAACTTCTGCCATCCATCTCTGGCACGTCGATGTTGCCCAAACTTCAGCCGCTCGTGCAACTTGTCCCAAATCTCCTCGGCACTCTCATCACCCGCATACCGAGTGTCATCAACGTGGATGGTCACCACTGCTCTCAGACGTCCATCTGGATGGTGCGCCACGAACATGCCGGGGATCAGCTTCAGCTCATGGAGGTCGATGCTCTTGAGGGTGGCCTTGTACTCCAAGTACCAGAGTCGGGGTGACTCGCATAGCCCGAAACCTCCCTTCAGCAGTCTCAAGAGGTCTCCCCGGCACTGAGTTCCCACCTTCCCGATGATGTGCTCGGTGACCGCCTGGGGGTAACCCGTCGGAAGTCTGACATAGACCTCACGCTCTGCCGGTAGTGGCTGTCCCTGGAGGAACGCGGCGGAGACGTCCTCATAGTGCACCTCCCACCCCATCTGCACCGCCACAAAGTTCAGGAGGTTGTGCCCCAGAAGACTAGCCGTAGGAGCCAGGGTCGGGTACTTTCCAGCCTCTGCATCCCGATGACCTCCTAGAATCCAGCGGGCCTTGAGCTCTGCTTCTGCCAGGACTTCTCCTCCTTTGTTTGTGAGCACGAATCTCGAGCTCAAGATCTTCCGAGGATCGACTATGGCGTCCTTGGCCACCCCGGTGATGGCATCATTTTCGAAATAGACCTGCACAGCTTTGATCAGCGGCTGCTCATATGCCTTGCGCCAGTTCTCATCCAGCTGGCGCCACTGGTACTCCACCCTGAGCTTCCCGGTCACCAGTTTGGCCTCAAAGACCGCCTTGCTCTCCTCGGCTGCCAAGCTCTCGCCCTTCTCAATCACCTGCAGGAGCTTGGGATCCTCCTCCTCTGTCGCCTCCCAGAGCAAAGCGTGGGTCTCAATCTCTGACCATAGCACGCCATAGTCCACCTTCTCCTCCGCGACGAACTCCTCCACATAGTGGGTCTCCTTTGCCGACGACTTGGATGGTGCCTTGGCCGGAGTGGATGGTGCTGCCCTCGATGGCGTCGCCGGAGCTGCTCGCGATGCCTCGCGTCTCTTGTCTCGCTGCTCCTTCTTCAGGTCTTTTCTCACCTTCTTAAGGTGTCCATAGGCATTTTCCAATCTGTTCCTCACTTCGGCCTCCTGCATCGCTGACGGGGCTCCCAGGTCCTTGGCGAGCTGCTCAAATAGCTTCTGCTTCTTGTTGAAGGGGAGCAGATGCGGTTCTACCTCCTCTGGGATTCTGAGCGCTTCCGGCACATCATGAGTCAGCTCTCTTTTCTTCTCAACCTCTTCTCGCAAGCCCTTGACCTTGGGCTCCTCCGCCTTCTGCTCCTCCGTGTCGGTGTCCTTCTTCTCGTCATAGTCCGTCACTGGCATTCGACCTTGGGTGATCTCGGCCTCCACATCCTTGAGGGCCCCGACGATGAAGTCCGCGCTCATCATCTCGTCCGCGGTGGCCAACCTGATCTTCTCCAAGGGATAGGCCTTGACCCTCGTTCGAATCCTCACCCAGACCTTCTTTGGGACCGTTCCATCCCTCTCGACACAGACGACCACGGCAGGTCCGCTCCAAGACACATTGTCCTGCAGTCTCCTCGCCAAACCTCGACGATTTGCCGGAGGGTCGTGCACGTACACCACGGCACCTTCTCGCAGCAACTCCAGCATCGGTGGCCTTGAGCGTGCCGCCAATGCGCGCCGTAGTCCTTCGTGCGAGTCCAACCAGTGACAGGCCTCAATGGCCGCTGCACGAATGCGCTCGCTCCTCCTCAGGGCCTCCTCTTGTGCTAGCTGTTCATTGGCTCTGAACTTCACTTTCCCACTTGTGATCTGGGCCAGTAAGGATCCCGGTAGTGAGGTGTTGCGACCGGTCACCGCCTGGATCGGTGCCACTCCATTTTTGCCGACGATGCGGTTCTTGGAGGCGAAACATGAGCAAGCTGCGGTCTGCATGTCCTTGAGCGAATCAATCCGCAGCTCCTGGATCATCTTCATCAACATGACCTTAATGATCGAGCCGTGTCTCTCGGCATGACCTAGGCGCCATTTGGCCTGATCCGGCACCACCTCATGCTGCACTGCGAAGATGTCGTTGAGGCGGGTGATGGAGCCCAGGAATTCTGTTCCACCATCCGTGATCAGCAGATCTGGTGGCCCGAAGACATCATACCACAGCCGACAGAGCGTCTCCGCGGCCCAGTCCGAGCTAGGTTCAAAAGCCAGCGCCCCCACATGGTAGTCGGTGAGCTCGTCGATGTAGTGCACCACCGCATAGCGGACCCCCTTGATG